GCCCGGCCCCCCCCCCACCCGCGTCACCCCCGCCGGGGCCGGGCCCCTCACCTACGGACCGAGGGGAGGGGAAGGGAAAGGGAGAAAGGAGAAGGGAGGGGAAGGGAAGGGGAGGCCGAGCAGCCCCTCAGGACCAGGGGCGGAGGCCGCGCCGCCCCCGCGGGAGGGCAGGGGACAGGGGGGAGGGCAGGAGCGGGCCCACCTCCGGGGGTACCGGCCGGCCGGTGCTGCGGTGCGCGCCCTGCCCTGCTCCCGCGGCGCGGAGGGGCGCGCACGTGGGGCGGAGGGCGGCCCTGGAAGCGGATGCGCGGGGAGCGGCTGGAGGGCGGCGGGTTCCGGCGGAAGGGGCCGGGCGCGGCGCTGGCTGGCGGAGTTTCGGCGCCTTCCCCTCGGTGGCGGGGCGGCCGGGCTGCGCCTCCGGGAGCCGCGTCCCGCTGTCCTTCTTCCCTCCCTCCCTCCTTCCTTCCCTTCCTCCACTCCTCCTTCCCCCCGCCGCCTCGGGCCATGCTGCTGCCGTCCGACGTGGCCCGGCTGGTGCTGGGTGAGTGAGCGGGGGCCGGGCGGTGGCTGCTCAGCCCCTGAGGCGCGGTGGGCGCTCCCGGGGCGGGGGAGGCGGTGGCGGCCGCGCCAGGGGAGCTCTGCCGGGGATTGTCAGTCGCCGGCATCGCCCCGGGCGCGGCGGGAGAACGAAGCGGCTGCGCCCTTGACCCTCGACCGCCTCGGGCTCGTCCTTCCCCCGGGGCTGGGGTTGTCACCGCCGAGGCGTAGCCCCGGGCCCGGCGGTCTCCGGGCTGTCCCTCTCCCGGCCCCGGCCCGGTGTCTATCGGGAAACGACCGCAGCTCGATCCGGAGGGGCTTGGGGGCCTCGGAGGGCGCAGGGGAGTCCTCCGGGCTGGGCCGCTCCCCAACGGCCTCCGTGAGGCGATGGGGCCCGGGGAGGGCTCTCGGCGGGTTGGGGAGACCGAGGCGGTCTGTGGTGTCCGGCTGCAGGGAGGTGTCTGGGGAGCGGGGTGCGATGAAGTATCCACGAGAGGAGGAACGCAAGGGCCATCCGAAATGCCGGGGCAGGCTGGGTCCGGGCTCCGCCGGGCTTCCATTCCCTCCCCGTTTTGGTCACCCGTGAGGCTGGACCGAGACCCGGCGTCTCCTCTGTGGAAGGTGCGGAGTCTGTGTGTTCAGGTCGTCAGCGACAGGCAGCGAAATTTGAAAAATGGTTTCATGCTTTGGATTATTTAGATGCTGCCAAAGATAAGAACAAAGGGATGGTAATCAAAAATATGACCCACATATTGAAAACCCACACGTAAGCACCTGTTGGCGTGGGCTGTCGGGATTTCCTGGCTGCTTGCGTTGGGAGGTGGGTTTTCAGTTCTCCGCAATTTTTTTGAACCCAAAGCCATTGAGGCTGGGTCTGTTCTTTGGTGTTCCTCCAGCAGAATTTATTTTTTAAATACCACCTGAAATGTTTCTTGGTACCGTCTTGAGAAACGAGGCTAGTAAGAGATGAAACATTTTTATTATTGTGAAGTAATAGAGGATTCTTAGAAACTTGCAAAAGATTTAAAAACATGCAAGAGAGATCTCTCACTGTAAAAAAAAAATCGGTTAAGTTACAAGTTTATCTCGCGTGCCTACCGGACAGAGACTTGCAGACGTAGCAGACAATCTTGGCAACGTCATGTGCACTGAGGATGTTCCATCCTATCTGGTGTCTGTTGTGGCACGGTGCATGCATCATGCCCTGGAAACTTCCAAGCAACCTAAGGTTGTAGAACAGGATAGTCCTTGTAGCTATTTCTGTCTTCTAATAGGGATTCCTCTTCCATGAGGCATCTGAGAATTTGGGCGGACAAATAGGCTTCCTGGCGCAGCTCTTTTTCCATCTTTCTGTTTTTCCCACCCTCTCTCTTTAGCTCAGTCTTGTGCTATGAACGTTGATGGATATTGGTTTAAGAAGCAAAACTAAAATGTTAAGATGAGCTCACGCAAAGAAAAATACGTAAGAAAATGTATCTTTTTCTAATTAGTGTAAGCGTGCACGTGTATCATGAGTTAGGTGTGTGTCTTTACAGGTAGAACAAAATACAGATACAACAAAAATACAGATAGAACAAAATATTGGATTAATCGTAGTTCAGAAGGTACTCCACCTTTTGTGCTTTTAATTTGGTTTTGGTAATGTTAAATATTTTGTACTGATGTGTCATTACGTGATGTGTGCATGAGCAGTTCAGTTACACAAAAGATCTTAATGTAGGTGTTTTTAAACCTTGGAACGTCTTATTTTGCAGGAAGTTGATGTATGTGGTAAATGTGCAATACTGTAGTATTAGGTTCAAGAGAGAAAAATGGCAACTTTTTGCGTCAGCGTCCAGATGAGTTTGATTGCAAGAATAGCCACCCTAGCACAGATCAAAGCTCCACCCAACCTAATACCTGGTTGTTTTCCATCCTGGCGGGCAGTGGATGGTGTAGTGGAAAGGAATAAGACTGGTGTGTCGTTGCATTTCCTAAATTACACTCCTAGCTTCCAGCAATTTGTGGCTTGAGAGTTTTCTAGCAAAATGTATTTCAAAAAAGTAAATAGGGTGGCCCTTTCCACAGATACCACTAATGTTTTCTGATGGATAGGCCAGCTCATGCATCGTGATTAAACTCACAGTGGTTATTCCCAAATGTGTTTACCTTTAAAGTTTGCTTATTTGTTGAAGACCTTAGTAAGGGCTTATGTGTCTGAATCGTCTGGATCATCTGAAAACGATGTTTTTTCCAGCTATACTTGGATCTGCTGAAAGATACCTGTTGTCTTGTAAACTTAAAAGCCACATTTTTCTATAGGCATTCCTGAGCTGAGGTGGGCGATTTTGGGGGTGTGGTATAGGTATGCTAACGTATGTGTATCCTGCGTTGTATAATTAGGCACATATTTTATCTTTTCTTTAAAACATTACTTGTTCTGTTCTGCTACAAGCAAGAAGGAACAGACATTTTCTTTTGTGGTTCTTTGTTCTGGAATCCTTCATTCAGATTGGTCTATTTCTATCTTTTAATGTTTAGAGTATTTGAAGATAAAAGTAAGGCTTAAAAAGTTTGGTTAAGGCAGAACATATTTGCTGAGGAATGGAATTTTGGAAAAGTAAACTTTTTCAGTATACTTTCTGTTAAGTTAACTACTGTTTTGGGGTGTGTACAGAGCACAAGTTGCAGCTAGTACATCTGTTCGAAATGAGAATTACAGTAAGGGGGGAAGACTTTTCTGTTATTAATTTTTGTACAGTGCCAATTTTTGTAAATAACTCTTACACACTGTTGTAACAACTGCACAGGTTTTACCTGTTTTGAAACAGGAGGATGAGTGGAGAGTTATTGTAACATGGCAATGCATTTTATTAACAAACTATTGTAGAATTCCATTTAATGGTCGCACTGGGTTGCTTGAACATTTATTTTCTTGTCTGTACAGTACTCTCTGTACTAAAGTTCAATCACGAATTGTTTATACTGCCTCATTTCTAGTCTTGAATAGTTAGTGAATGCAGTATATTATCAATAATATTTTGTGATCTTTCTGGTTTTAACTATTAAAGAAATATTTTACAGGATATATGCTCTTTCAAAATAACTCCACTTTCCTTGTCTAACACACAAATCTTTTGTTATTTCAACACTGTATGCAGCTGGTTAGGTTAATGCATTAATTCCTATTGAGCATAAGTAATGAATGAAATAGCGAAATTTTCTGTCTGATTTGTTGCAGGATACTTACAACAGGAAAAACTTCTAGCTACCTGCCGTGAATTTATTTTGGAAAGCTCAGATTTGAAAGAATATGCAGAGCACTGTACAGAGGATGGGATTATTCCAGCCTGCTTGCTGGTGAGTTTCTGTTTGCAAAGTAGGGAGTTAAGTTGTCTTGCATCCATGGAAGAGGACATGGAGATTTCTCTGTGTAACAATTATTTCTCAAATGCTGCTTAAAATAGTTAGGTTGATTGTCCTCCTCATTCTTTTTTGTTTGTTTGTTATTGTGTCCTGTGGTATTAACAGTTATTTGGTTTCTAGTATTTTATGTTACTAAGAAAAAATTAAGTGTAAAATATGCAAATCAGTTTCAGCATACTACATTTAGTCTGCTATATAGCTTTGAGGTTGATTTATGGAAGGATGTCGCAAGGCTTTTATTGATTTCAGGGCTGCTCTTGTATTTTATTGGAGATCGCTTTCCTATTCTAGACAAGTCAGCCAGTCATGTTCCATTTCAAGTCCATATTAAATGTTTAGGTAAGGTGCCTCAGCATTATCTAATGCTAACAAATTTTGTTGACAAAAACTGTGTTTCAGTTCAGCTTCCTCTTTAATCAGTATCATCTGCTTTGTCTCTAGTGAAATGTGCAACTTTGGGTGTGCATAAATACAGTGTGTAGCTGTGTATGTAGACTTGTGCGTATGACTACAGGGTCATTAGATACTTTCCATTTTTAACATATATGAATTGGTATTTGTAATCTACTCTGCAAATTGCAGGGTTTGGATATTGCTGTGTATTAACCTTTTAATGTTTACATGTGCATTTTCTTCCTGTTTTCCGTTTCATTCTTCTAATGTATCAGTTAATTATGTCACCTGGGATTTTGTCCACAGTATCCAAAATTTCTGGAAATCTTTTCTGAGGTCCGAGGTCTTGATGCACCTATTCAAAACAGACCATTGGACTGATTTCATTTACGAGTGTTTAGCCATCTGTTCTTTGTGGGTAGGGAATTGAGAACCAAGCCTTAGCCAGTAAAAATTAGAAAAAACAAATGTAAATAACTTCTGAAAGCTTTTAATTATCTTCCTTTTCTCAGTAGAAACATTTTTGCTGTTTTTTGTACAAAAGTGGTGATGTGATAGTGTTTTTTCTTAAACTGTCACTGCAGCCTAAAATACTTGCAATAAAAGGCTGTATTTGTCATACTCTGCAGAGTTCCCACTGGCAAACAAGAGAAGAAGGTACAAGATGATAGCGATAACCTCAAAATCTTAATTCTTTGTTTCACCTAAAATAACAGAACATGTAAATATGACATGAAAGTTAATTCTGTGTGACTTAACAATTTTACTTTAGACGGAAGTTCTCTTCACATTTTAAAGCATCATCCTAAAGCGTGTTGCGTTCCACAATGATACGTACCCCTTCCTCTGTTACAGCTGTTCATCATCTTATTTTTGTGGTTTTATTCCATAATAACAAAGGTGAGGGGAGGACCTGCACCTGTAACTGCTGCACCAGTGTTGTGCAGTGAGATCAAGCGCTTCAGATGTTGTGCTCGTTGTGGCATTCTGTTCCATAGATCGCTCTTTATCTGGTCTGAGACAGCTCAGCACCAGTGGCATAAAGTACAGTTCCTTGTGCTGAGGGTCAGCATGGTGTAGTCCTCTAAAGAACTGCTTAAGTATAATGTGGTACAGCAGATGAAGTATGAGTTATTAGTGAAGATTCTAAGATCGGTATCTTTTGGTTTTTTTCCAGTCCCTGTGTGGAAAAAACTTGACAACTATTCTTAATGAATATGTAGCCATGAAAACAAAAGGTAAGCCTTTAGAATGAGATTTTATTTTGTTTTTCTTATTTATCTGTTGTGAACTCCTTGAGAAAGAGGTAGTATCTCCACCTATGTTTTGACTTAGAGCAATCCCTCCACTGTGCTAGAAGTTGAAGATTTCTGTATTATGCAGAAACAGCCAATTAGATCAGCATCTTGTGAGGAAAATTAATTATCTTAGTTTGAATTTGCCAGCATATTTTCACTTCGAATTTGAGCAGAACTTCTGATGTAATAAAGCATAAAGATGCCATAAAGTGTGTCAAATGTATGAATTTCTGCTTGTAAAATTACACTGTTTGTTGTTTATACTATAAATAGGAGGGAGAGGTGCTGATCTCCTTGCTCTGGTGTCCGGCAACAGCAATGGAATGACTCTGCATCAGGGGAAGTTCAGATTGGATATTAGGAAAAGGTGACTGAGAGTGTGGTTGGTCACTGGAACAGGCTCCCCAGGGACGTGCTCACAGCACTAAGCCTGTGCTGTTCTGTTCAGGGAGAGTCTAGACGATGCTTCTAGTCATATGGTTTAGGTTTAGGCAGTCCTGTGAGGAGCAGGGAGTTGGACTCGATGACCCGTATGTGTCCCTTCCAATTTAAGATATTCTATGATTCTATGAAATAACCTGGAAAAGTCCTATAGTGTGAAACGCTTCTTGTTTTGTTTTCAAAATGAATTAAAATAATTTCAGAATAACTTAATATTTTGTATGAATATTAGAGATAGAGCCTTTGCTAGTTTTAAAAGCAGTTTTTGAGCTTGTGAATGTTGACAAGTCTTACAACTCTTTGATACGTGTTGTCTGATCAGAATTTAGTGGTGCTTGGTTTTAAGACTTGCAATTTAAAACGCATCAGGTTGGAACATTTCTGAATGTTTTTTTTTCCTTTCACACTAGATTTAATAGAAATAGTAACTAAGACACAAACATACTTTATTCAAAATACTTTGTACTCAGCACCATGAACAGCTTTATAAATTGGTCTGCTTACGTCTTTCCATTTATCATAGAATCATAGACTGGTTTGGGTTGGAAGGGACATTAAAGATCATCGAGTTCCAACCCCCTGCCATGGGCAGGGACACCTCCCACTAGAGCAGGTTGCTCAAAGTCCCATCCAGCCTGGCCTTGAACACTTCCAGGAATGGGGCATCCACAGCTTCTCTGGGCAACCTGTTCCGGTGCCTCACCACCTCACAGGAAAGAATTTCTTCCTGATATCTAATCTAAATCTTCCGTCTTTCAATTTAAAACCATTACCCCTCGTCCTATCACTACACTCCCTCCCTTATACCTCAATGTTCTTCTGTGCTTCAAAACTACCAAGTGTTTTTACCTGTTTGGGTGACATCTTAAAATAAGCCGTTGCTTTTAAAGGCCTGTCTGCCAGGTTACAATTTTCGGAAGCACACAAGTGACTTGGGAATATGAGTACTGTTTCCAGAAGTGTGTTAGGTTGGGTTAGGTTAGGTTACCATGTGTTTGCCTAGGAGTCAACACCACAAGCAGATTACATTGAGAATTATAATCATGAATGTCTTTGCCTCAGTTTCATTTCAGCTTCTAAAACTGAGAACTGTATCCATGATGAGTGCATGTTTGTATCAATCAAATTCTTAAATTAGGAGTTAGGGCTCTCTAATTAACAGAATATTAAGAAGGTGACTAGACACCTAAAGTGAGATGATGTCTGAAACATATAATACTTAATAATTACTATTTTGGTTGTGATTTTAATTTTTTCTCAACATATATCTGTTTTAAGCATCTTATTTTTTTTATGGTTTATTTTAGAAACAACAAATGAAGTTCCAGCAATGATGTCATCTCTGTGGAAAAAATTAGACTATACACTTTCTCAGATCAGGTAATTTAGTTTTGAAATCAAAGAAGTAAAATTTCACTGTCTTAAGAGTGAGTCCCTATGTTGATCTACTTCCCTTTATCATTGTGTGAGAATGGTTTTGCTCTCTGTTGCCTCTGAGAGATGGTGAAGAAGAAGGGTATGTGAGAGTTGAGAGTTCAGTAGACATTTCGGGATTTTAAGGCAGGACTAGCAGATAAGGAGGGCATTAGTGTGAGTATGTGGCTTTCCTGTAATAAAACAATGCGCTATGACTCATCTAGAACTCGATACCATTATGGTTACTTGATAAAAAATATAACAGTAAGCTTCATTTGAAAGATCTGTGACCATTGTGTGAATGAATACAAATAACAACCCGTAGATTGAAGCTTTCTGAAGTAATGTGTGGTTGGGACCGGACTGACATTAACCATAGCGTAGATACTGTCGTGCTCTGTAGCTGAGTGTTTCCATTGTGCTCCTTGTATTTATGTGACCTGCTTTATTTTTTAGGAGCATGCAAAATTCCACAGGATTTTCTGCTAATCAGAGGAGTAAGTAACTGAGCCAATACCATGGGATCAATAGGCTTTATGTTCAAATTATTGGTTTTGGGGGGGAATGGTTTATGGGGAAATGCTGCAGCTATCAGTAACACGTCCTTACTCTTAAAATGTTGTCCAATCTCTTCTGCAGTGTTTTGGTTTTTTTTTTTCAGCATGTCTGTTGTCCTCAGTGCAGTCTGTGGGTTACTGTAATGATTAAGAAAGGAAAATAAGAAAAGCTGAGCTGTTTGCAAGGGACTTAAATTCTCTATATAGCATTTTTTTTTCTCTGCTGAAAATTTTTTAGGAGTTTACACAGTTAAAAGGTTTAAAAACTGCTGCTTCAGTCCTGAAGCTGTTGACTTAATTTGTGGTTCATAGAGGAACTGAAAACGTAACCAATCTAATTATGATGCGGTTTCATTTCTATAGAAGGGGAATATAAAAATGTATTACAATCTTGAGACAATTATTTTTTTATGCATACAAACATGTATCTAAGCAAAATATGAAAAGATACTTGTTCTATCTGGAATTGTTTCTTTCATTACAAGAACTGCCAAATGAACTCTCAAAAAATAAGTTATTTTACTTAAAAATAATTTTTTCTCTTTGTAGTACTTCTACCAAGTTCCCTTTGTAAGAAAAGAGAATGTGAAATGTCAGTAGTGATTGTTCTTGGATCTGAGATTCACTGGATCGGGTGGTCTTCTGTTGTTTAAATTTGTCAGATTTAGTCTGATAAATAAATGCAAGTTTACGTTGGTTCAGCTATTTCAGTTAAGGTCATATATATGTGTGGTATATTATGTAATGAAATATCTTTTGGGGGTGAGTTATTCCTGTAAATATTTAAGCAGTGATACAAGCATGGTTATAATAGCTGTGTAAGTTGGCTGTACTTCTTGAATTGTTCTGGGTCAAACCTGTAACACAGAAGACATAGATGGGTGTTCCTTGCTTTTTGAGTTTCATTAATTAGTTGTTGAAGCACAAAAAGTTTCAATGGAGCATCCTTGATTAGGTCTTGGAAAATCAGCAGCCTTTTTAAGTTCCTTTACCATGTATTTTCATCGTATCTTTATTATCTCCAGCACGTACAAGAAGTGGAATTGTGGAAATGAAAAGACAGAGAATGCTTCAGCAATCAGCTCCTGCAAACTCAGGATTGTTGTCAGTAGCCCATCAGTCAGGGCCACAGAATTCCTCTTCTGTTGTAGCTCCTCAAGTTATTCAAAGACCAACAATAAATCAAACCGTGTCACAGACAAGACTGAATACGTTGTTTGTTCACCAGTCACAAACCCAAGAAAACAAGATCAGCGGTAGGTTGCACACTTTTTTTAAACCTTTTTTCTGTGAAAAATCTATGGATATAGATGGTAGTTTTTTAAAACCAAGACTAACCATCTTCCAGCAAAAAAGTTTCAGAAAATTCATGCTTTGTTCCCACAGAATCACAGAATGGTATGGGGTTGGAAGGGACCTCTGGAGATCATCTAGTCCAACCCCCCTGCCAAAGCAGGTCCACCTAGAGCAGGTTGCACAGGAACTTGTCCAGGCAGGTTTTGAACATCTCCAGAGATGGGGACTTCACCACCTCTCTGGGCAGTGTTCAGTGTGATGCCACCCTCAAAGTAAAGAAGTTCCTCCTCATGTTTAGATGGAACTTCTTATGTATGGCTTTGTTCCTCTTGTCCTTCCCCTGGCTCTCCAAACTGGTTCAGGTGATTAAAATACAGAGTGCCCAAAAGATAAATGGGTCTTGCATACTCACTTGCTAAGGTGGGTTCAGAGATCAGAAGTACATTGATTTGTCATTATTCTATGCTGTGTTCTCACCCTCACCCAAAACACTTGTTTTAACAGATAAGGATGATCTACATCAAGTGGATGTTTTTCTCAGGTTATATTTAAAAGGAGCGGTTCTCATTTTCATGATAATACCAAATTATTTTGTATGAATTCCCAGGAATTGATTGGAACATAATAAGTAATGTGTAGATTTGTGTGGTGCTTTAACAGTGTAATTGGAGAAGGCACTGGCATCATGATCTTTGTTTTTCCTTTATAAAGCAGGAGATTTCATACACATTCAAGTTCCGGCACCACAAGAACGAAAGCTTCATTCAAACTTGCTTTCTCCAGGAAGAAGAAAAAGGTAAACATGGGGTTTTCTTTTTTGTTTGTTTGTTTTGTTTTTTTCCCAGATCGTTTAGAGATGATGCAGTATTCCAGCCTTTAGTGTAAATTTTCTTAGATGGTGGAGTGTTTTACATTTACTGAGAGTGGCAACTGTAGAATGTTTCATGAGGAAAGGAAAGTCAAAGAGCTTAACATTGGACTGACAGGAGGCTACTTATGCTTCTTTATTACATATAGCCAGTCTTTGTGTTATTCCAGTATTATACATGGGCAAATATGGAGATTTGGTATTCCTTCAAAAATATCCTTACCAATTATGAAAATTCTCAATATTGATATAAGTGTGCATTTTGTCTGTTTTTAACCTAGAAAAACCATTGGCTTCAGTAAATTTTGTCAGCAAAAATTCCCATATTTGCACTAAAAGTGATATGAAAAACTGGTTTTACACTCATTTTGCATTTTTTATTCTTTGATTCCAATGTCCTTTGGTTTTTAATGAGTTGACTGGTCTATTTGTGTTCCATTTGTTGTCTTTACCCCGACAAAATCCCAGTGGGTGGGATTATCGTTTTTCCAGACCTGTACTCACTCACACCTTTTACAAGTCCTCTGTATTCCTGCATGATTTTTTGGTGTATAAGTGATTTTAATGCCACTCCTGATTGATGGTTTCACGAGTGCCTATACCATGATTTCATATAAAAGCATTAGATTTCCTATTCATCATCTGAATTCTTACACTACCTTACATTAGTTTGCTGCTTTGACAGCAGCTGCTCTTTTTTTTGAGAGCTTTATTTTCAGTGGTGATGCCAAGATCTTTTTCTTGAGTGGCTGTTAATTAGAACCTGTATCACCAGTAAAAGGAGCATATACTGGAGGGGGGAAAAATACTGAACAGTGGCCATGGAATTCAACTTGCCATTATGGTGTTTACCCACAGTCTATATGTTTGTTTGTAACTTCTATGAAGTCAAACAGAATATATGCATATGACATAATGAAACAGATACCGGCTTTTATTGTATTTCCAGTATGTAGTTAATTTTCTGTTGATTAAAATCTTTTGTTTAGTAAGAAGGAAGAGAAGCACTTGATTTACTGACCATTAAGTCTATTGTTTGCTATGTTCTCACAAAATGCATCCTAAATTTGCTGGAATGTTTCAGTGAATCTCAGAAGAGGAAAAGTGTTGCAACATCTGGACCTCTTTCAGCAGCTAAAAGTTCTCAAGACCCTGATGAAGTAACAACAGAGAAAGAAAGTGAGCCACTTGAAGAATTCATAGATGGTAACTTCCCAGTGAGTATATACTTATGGAAGGTATTTACATTTAAGAAACAAATTCAAACTAAGGAGAACTAGTCTTGTTGTTTGTCTTGAGTATTCTAGAAATTAACTTTAGGAGATAAATTTAGTTTTGTATTTGAACTATCTCTTCTATGTACTAAACTAAACTAGAGAGGATGGCACTGCTATGCAAGGGTTTTTTTTTTTTCCCCTTGATTTATTGGCTTTGCTAAGATACCTGTAAGCTGTCAGAATACAGTAATGTTTCAGAGAATGGAAACCAGAAAGCACAATAAGCTTTGCTGTGCTTTAGGAGAGTGGAAGTACAGGAATGCTTTGGGATTATTTTCATTGCTGCATCATGCAGTCACAGATTGGCCATCTCTCTGTTATAAAGAGTGTTACCTGTGTTGAATTATTTTTTTTTACCAGTAAGTTGTAAATTCATGCTCCTTTTCTAGTGATGATAAAAATGGAAACCTGACTGCTTAAAAACTGTGTTTTCCAGCAACTGGTTATTGAAAATGCCAGAGAAAAAATCTTAAGCAACAAATCTCTTCAGGAGAAGCTTGCTGAGAACATCAACAAAATCCTGAGCAGGTAATAAAAGGAACCTCTAAACTTCATACATACTCTTATTTGATTTATTTTTTATTTCTGAACTAATGACTAATGTGTTCCCAGTGATGGCAACGTCGCTCAGGCCCCTAAACAGACAGACAGTGGTCCCACGGAGCAGGAGACTTCAATCGATGAAATCCTTGGACTTCAGGTTGGTGTGGATTGCACTGTTAACATTTTTTGAAGACCAGCCACCTGAGAATGATCAGTTATGGGAACTAAGCTGAACCTCTGTCTGCTGTCTGAGATTGCTCTCCTCTTTCTCGTCTTTCTTTTTATTTCTTGTTTTACAATACAGCTGAGCCTGTCTAAGGGCAAGGTTCTGCCCAGGGGCAGGTCTGCAACTTCCCTTGCACGGGCATTAACTCTAATCTTGTTGTACGGTGGTGGGCAGGTTGGAGGAGCTGAACTGACAGGATACTAGTATTTTGCTGGTGTTAATTTTGAGCCAGTTTAGCACTCTGAATTCATTCCCAATGCCTGTTCAAGGCAGCAGATCATGGGTCAAAAGCCAAGGAAGTAGGACAGCTTCTGGCAGTGGTTATCTGTTAACGTTACCCTCAGACTGAAGCTCTAAGTACTCTGTCCCACAGACACCAGCTGCCTGCTTGGCAGTGGGTTTTTGTTACTAGTAATTGGGTACCAGCTTCTGACTGGGGATCTGATCAATAGTCTTGTGAAAGAAAAAGGAATTTAAAATACCTTGTGGTCTCCAAACATGTTTGCTCTGATTTGATTTTCTGATTTGCTGAGAGATAAACATGGATTTTCTAGTATAGCAAGAGAAATTGTCTTTAGGGCCTAAATATGGATGCTTTTTCTTGAAATGTAATATTTTCTTGCTTTTGCAGGAAATACACATTCTCCTTCTACAAAATAAACTTCTAGTGTTCTCCCTTCATTCTTCTGACCAATCTGATAGCCTTCTATGATGCCATAACCGGTTGGTTGGATGAGGGGAGGGCAGCAGATGTCATCTACCTTGACTTCAGCAAGGCTTTTGACACTGTCTCCCATAACATCCTCATTGGGAAACTGAGGCAGTATGGGCTGGATGAGGGGACAGTGAGGTGGATTGAGAACTGGCTGTGTGACAGGACCCAAAGGGTAATTATTAATGGAGCAGGTTCAAGTTGGAAGCCTGTAACCAGTGGAGTCCCCCAGGGGTCAATACTTGGACCCGTGCTGTTTAATATATTCATCAGTGACCTGGACGAGGGGACAGAGTGTATCCTCAGCAAGTTTGCTGATGATACCAAACTGGGAGGGGTGGCTGACACCCCGGAGGGCTGTGCTGCCATCCAGCGAGACTTGGACAGGCTGGAGGGCTGGGCAAAGAAGAACCTCATGAGGTTCAACAGGGAAAAGTGTAGGGTCCTGCACCTGGGGAAGAAAAATGTCAGGTACCAGTACAGGTTAGGGGTGGACCCGCTAGAGGCAACTACTGAAGAGAAAGATCTAGGGGTCCTGGTGGACAGTAAAATGACAATGAGTAAACAGTGTGCTCTTGCGGCCAGGAAGGCCAATGGTATCTTGGGTTGTATAGGGAAGAGTGTAGCCAGCAGGTCAAGGGAAGTCATTCTGCCCCTCTACTCTGCACTGGTGAGGCCACAACTGGAGTACTGTGTCCAGTTCTGGGCTCCCCAGTTCAAGAGGGACAGGGAACTACTAGAAAGAGTCCAGCGTAGGGCTACAAAGATGATTCAAGGATTGGAGCATCTCCCTTATGAGGAGAGACTGAGAGAGCTGGGACTCTTTAGTCTGGAGAAGAGAAGGCTGAGGGGAGACCTTATCAACGCCTACAAGTATCTCAAGGGAGGGTTGAAGGAGGAGGGAGCCAGACTCTTTTCAGCGGTTCCCACCGAGAGGACGAGGGGCAACGGGCACAAGTTGGAACATAAGAGGTTCCACTCAAATATGAGGAAAAACTTCTTCACGGTGAGGGTGACGGAACCCTGGAACAGGCTGCCCAGGGAGGTTGTGGAGTCCCCTTCTTTGGAGATTTTCAAAACCCGCCTGGATGCAGTCCTGAGTAACATGCTCTAGCTCTGGGCAATCCTGCTTCAGCAGGGGAGTTGGACTAGATGATCTCTATGGTCCCTTCCAACTCTAGAAATTCCGTGAAATTCAGTGAAATTCAGTGAAATTCTACAACCCTCAAGCAGGAATCACAGACTTATAAAGGACTCTTAATAAGGGAATTATAATCTTCATGGAAAGGGCAGGACAGTAGAGGCAGTTGCCCGCTTACGAAGTAGAGGTGTCTGTTTATTATAAGCTATTCTTCTGTCACTTGGTGATTTATTTTTTTTTTAGGTCAATTTTTGTCAAAATGTGGAGCAGAAAAGCTGTATTCTATTTTTGTGAGCAGAAAAAAAATAAAGCAGCTTCTTTGTTTAGTTACAGTAGCTGAAACAAAATAATCGGGTATATCAAATGGGATATCCGCCCTTAACAACCACCATATCAAAAGTTGTAGGGTGCTTAGATAACCTCCAGGAAGTCAGGGGAAATTTTGTCTTTGAGCACTTGAATATGTAGTGAGGGCTCTGCTCATTTTTGTCCTGTGCTGCTACCAAACAAGTCAAGAACCTTAGAGCAGTGTCCTATGTAGCTGTGCCTTCTAACTGCCTTCCACAGAAAAGTAGTTGGAAGTTCTATTATAGACCATGTAATGGGTATATGAAATAAAACTTCCATTTGCTTATCATTGTCTTTTAGATGTATGCAAAATCAAGAAATCAGGATTAATTAGGGGATTTTTTTTTTACCAGTGGTTGGCTAATGCAGGCTCACGGCATCCGTAGCATCTGCATAAGCTTCCAGTGTAGCCTGAGATTTAGTCCTTCTTAAACGATGCTGGTCATTATGTGGAGGATACTTCAATATGCGTGTGCAGGGTGTAATGTCTGCCAAAGATGCCTGGGGTTTGGGGGACTTCATTTGTCAAACTTCAATCATTAGTATTTTTTAATAGATGTTAAATTTGTGGCAGAGATGTTTCCAGCATTAGTCTTTATGTTTCTGTGCTGAGCAGAAGGAATAGAACTAAAAACAACCTGAAAAGAAAACAATTCTTGTCTTTTTTTCCTAGCTTTTTCTTTAAGCTAGGAAAGTAACTGTCTGACAGATCTGTCTTTCTTGTCTTTTCTCAGGGTGAAATTCATATGTCAGAAGAGGCCATACAGGACATTCTAGAACAGACAGAATCCGATCCAGCTTTTCAGGCACTCTTTGACTTGTTTGATTATGGTAGGCTATATTATACTCAATTGTACCATTAGTGTAAAACATCATGAATGATGTGTTCTCCTCAGTATTTCCTGAGGTGATTCAGCAGGCCTCTTTTGCAAGAGAAATGGACTGTGTGGCATCTGTGTCTCTCAATTCAGAATTAGATTTTTACACACATTTATACATGACTATAAAGTACAGCGTTTTCTTGTGGCTGAATGGGTTTGTGCTGGCTCAGTGATTGTTTTATTGCTGTTATTTTAGACTATTCTGGGGTAAAGGATGATAGTTCATACTTGTTTTTCTATGCTGCTGTAAACTTTTTCTATTTGTCTGGTCAAGGATATCCCCACATAAAATATAGGGACATTTTTATGCTCTTTCTGGATTTGTAGTTAATATAGACAAATAGTTCTTTGTGTTTTGATGGCATTTTCTTGAGTTTGAAATCTCCATGCTTCATTTATAATGTAATAATCACACTTGTGTGTAAAATGACATATTTAATCATTCTTCATGTTTTATTGTGAAAATAGGAAAGAACAAGGTAAACAAGAACTTACCTGCTGGTATTTCTGGTCAGAGTGGAGTAGAAAACACGATCCTGGTGGATGAGGATAACCTGGAAACACTTGAAAGTTCTTTAGGAACAGAAGAAACCAGTAGATGTAGGTTGTTTTATTTTCCTTTAAGATCTCTTCCAGTCTGTTCACTTTTCATTATGAAAATATTTTCAGACAATTTATACATTTCACAATATTTCTGTTTTCAATGGTAATGTCCAGTTTGATGTTTACATTGCATAAACATACGAATATACCTCATCTGTTAGAAAGTTTCAGTCTATTAATTTAACAGCAGTCCATCAGTGTACTTACAAGATGTACTTGGTAAACTCCTAAATGAAACCAGAGTATCTGCAAATCTGTTTTCTCATTCAAAACAGAGATACTTTGCAATATTCATTGTGGAACCATATTAATCTTTTATCTCTATTGTGTAATGGTTAATTAACACCCAAAAGGAGTCTTACTCTGGACAAAAGGTATGTTTATTCTGTCTTAACAATAGTCCATCAGTAGGAGAGTTTTAGTGAAAGTCTATCAGAAATAGAGCCAAGAGGTGACGCAATTTCTTATTTATCCTGAGATATTTTTTGTGCTTCTGGAAATCTGATTTAGTGACTTGAGCTGTTTGCATATTATGTGTACACTTATTATTTATGTACAAACTGATTTGCCAGCTTGCCTAATGTCTATAACCATACGTTTAATACACTTTCCACTCAGCTTGAGAGTAAAGATGAGTGGCGTTATTCCCGCTTAGTTTCACGTGAAACAATTTGCCATTGAACTGATAAGTTGCTTCTAAAACGCTGTAAAAGGATCGTCTGTTCTAATAATTGAGGAACTAATTTATTGTCTGTTTGACAGGTGATAATTCTAGAGAGCCACTCTCCTGTAAAGGTTTTCAGCTAGGAGAAGCATCGTGTGCCTTGAAGACCAGCATTAATGATGATGATGTGGCTAAGAAAAACACCGCCAACGAACAGTTGCCTGGAAGTTGTAGGCCGAGCAAGCAGCCTGAGGGCCTGAAAACTGTTACCCCGGAGCACATGGGAGAGCTTGAGATCGCCTTTGACTCTGTGCCTTGTTTGACTGAACCTAACAAGAGACAGAGTTCTGATGGTGAATGTAATGAACACTGCGGAGATCCTTACGATAAAAAGGGGTCGTCTGCATTAGTGTCTGAAAGTGAAAGAGCTATGGAAATTGAAAAAGGCCCGCTAAGTCATGGTGCTCAAAGTAGTCCTAATTTAGAGTATGTTCATTCTGGTAGTCCACAGATCTCTTTGATTTCACTGGCAGAATGTACTACAGCCAGTGAAAACAAAACACATTCTGGAAGTAAATGTCACCTCTCACCAGATACATCACTGTCTGAAAAAACACTTGGTAAAAGCCCTTCTGAGGGGAGCCCTGGGCACAGCGTACTGCTGGGAAAAAACAGTGCATCGATTTCCAGCCCATCGGGGGATGCAGGACAAGAACAGGCTGTAACAAACGATACAGCTGCCTTACCTGGTATTTTACAGGAAAACTCAAGCCACCAGCCTAACCATCAGGGACAGAGTGTGCAGTCAGACTGTGCTGCAAGCTCTGCTGCAAAGGTTTCAGATCTTGACAAAACAGAGTTGCAGCTTGAAGTTGTTGATACTTCGAACAAACCTTATTCAAGTGATCAGCATACACTTGATAAGACTTGTAAGAAAGATGTAAACCTTCCTACAGGACTGTCAAACTCAGAGGGAACACAAGGGGAAATGCAGGAACCTTCATCTTCTACAAAAGTAGATGCTGATAATATATATTTCTCTTCTGGCGGTGATGCGTGTACAGAAATTTCCGTAGTATCCACTGCAAATAATCTTCCTACATCTGAAATATGCCACTCTCCTCTCCCAGAAACTGCATCCTCAACAGATGAGTCGGGTACTGAGGCCAAAAGTATAAGCGGTGTGTCTTCTAGTAGTCAACCAATGGATGTTGATCCTTCTAATATAATGTCCCTCAAGATCATCATCAGCGATGATCCGTTCATTTCATCAGACACTGAGTTAAATAATGCTGTTTCCAGCATCACAGGTGAAAATTTGCCAACTATAATATTGTCTTCTCCAGCCAAATCCCCAACCAAAACTGCAGGCCTGTCCAAATGTCTGACTTCAGAAGACACAGAAAAAAATGTGGATTCAGCTTTAGCAGAGCAGAATCTCCTTATGCTTAGACCAAAGGATCCCGTGGTCACCTCGGTTAACGCTCAGAATGAAGACTCTGCTGGCTTTCCAGTTGCAGGCACGACTAATCTTTCCAAGGAAGGGGGATTTATACAGTTGATGCCAGCAACAAGCACAGCTTTTGGGAATTCAAACAACCTTTATATAGCCACTTGTGTGGCCGATCCAGCTGCCTTGGGCACAGCTGGAACACCCTCAAATGTGGTGGTGTTGCCCGGCAGTTCTATGCCGCTTGCTGCCCAAGCTCCAGCCGTGCAGCAGCTACGGACTCCTCCTCGATCCAGCAATGCATTCACAGCAAACCAGACTGTCTCCCCCAGCTTCCCACAAGGTAATGGTGTTATTAGAAAATGACTGAAAATGTGGTGTTTATATAGCCTTTTTATTCTTTTTTTTCTAAGTGTATTAAAGCTAAACAAGGACAAGTGTAGGGTGCTGCACATGGGGAGGAATAACCCCAAGCACCAGTACAGGTTGGGGGCTGACCTGCTGGAGAGCACCTCTGAGGAGAAAGACCTGGGAGTCCTGGTGGACAAGAGGATGACCATGAGGCAGAAATGTGCCCTTGTGGCCAAGAAGGCCAATGGCATCCTGGGGTGCATGAGGAAGAATGTGACCAGCAGGTCGAGAGAGGTTATCCTCTGCCATCTACTCTGCCCTGGTGAGGCCCCATCTGGAGTCCTGTGTCCAGTTCTGGGCTCCCCAGTTCAAGAAGGACAGGGAACTGCTGGAGAGGGTACAGCAAAGGGCTACAAAGGTGATTAGGGGACTAGAACATCTCTCTTATGAGGAAACACTGAGGGACTTGGGTCTTTTTAGCCTGGAGAAGAAAAGGCTGAGGGGGATCTGATCAACACCGGTAAATACTTAAACGGTGGGTGGCAAGAGGATGGGGCCAGTCTTTTTTCAGTGGTGCCCAGTGACAGGACAAGAAGAAATGGGCACAAACTTGAACTTAAGAAGTTCCTTCTAAACATGAAGAGGAACTTCTTCACTTTGACGGTGGCAGAGCCCTGGAACAGGCTGCCCAGGGAGGTGGTGGAGTCTCTGTCTCTGGAGACATTCAAAACCCACCTGTGCAACCTGCTCAAGGTGGACCTGCTTTGGCAGGGGGGTTGGACTAGATGATCTCCAGAGGTCCCTTCCAACTCCATACCATTCTGTGATTCTGATTTAAAAAAAAACTTTTAAACACTGCTCTGTCTGCCCCTTGAAACTAGCTGTGAGTTATGTATTTTTTTAGTGTATTAGTTGCTACTAAAAATGAAATAAAAACTACAAAGAATTATTGACAAGCCAGCTTTGAAAAAAAAAAATACCCCTATATTTCAGAAGCTTAAATTATATAATTTTAGCAGTGATAAATTTAGAAAAGCATATTTTGGCTAGAAAAAATTTCATTGTTTCAGCTAAATAATGCAGTTTGTTTGGTTTTGTTTTCATGAGATTCTTGTTATAAATAGAATGCTATGTGTTATAGGTACCCGTGTTTAGTTTAGATAACTGGTGGATGTAGATATTCCTTCCAAAATTACTTCCTTGTTTTGTTTTGTTCCAGTTTCCAAAGACCTAGTCTGCACTAGAAGTACATTTGGACAAATATAGAAATGTAACGTTATTTCTTTCCGTAATATAAAATCTCTCCTGGTGCAGGCATTTTTATTACTACAACGATAAAAATTTTAAGTGCTTTTTAAAATGCTAAACCTGGTTATAATCAACACATACAGATTTCTTTCCAAAGCTCAAAACTTGTTGCAGTTACCCTTGAATTTCCGTGTGCAGTCATTCCATTGTGGTCAGAGGCCAGTGCAACGGTACGTGCAGGATCTCGGAGCACTGGCCCTCTCTGTCATGTCATTTCTTTATGTAACTATTGTCTTCAGGCTTTTTACACAGGGAGAGAAATAGAAATTTGTCCATTCTTCCACATTTGATGTTTTTCCTGGTGGTGCTCATGTAACCAAAGACATGTGTGGAATCAGTTCTTCTTTCACTTTTTGAATTTTTCATTCACTGCTCAATTAATGTGCTATAATAGTTTCCTTATTTTATAAATCCCATATAGAACAACTATTTTAACTACCATTTCAATAGTTAAGTAGGAAACTTCAGCAACTAGCCTTTCCCAGCTTCTGTGTGCCCATAAAGGGAAAGTATTATGGGTGCACTGGAAGGAAAAAAAAATTCCTTTTGAGCATGCTAATTGTAGGGAATAGGTTGCAAATAATAGTTTATTTTTTCTAAGCAGCAGAATGAACTATTTAATGTTACTCTTTCTTTTTTTTATAAATTATTATTTTTATAAATTAAAGTTCAAGCCTTAATGTAGGAATGTCATACTTCAAGTTTTTAACCGTTTCTTAAAAAAAAAAAACCCAGAGTTTAACTAAAGAATCCAATTTGAACTAAAAATAACAATTACTACCCAGTTTTCTAGCAGTGACGTGTAGTAAGGACCAGTAAGTTTTTCACAAAAGCTAGAGCTTTTATTGCCACAGGTTTGACCATGCATAATTTTAAGAAATCCTTTTGTGACGCTTTTATTTTCACTGAAGTTTTTTAGTTTCTGTACAATTTTAACACCTGATATTTTTTTTTTTTAGGTTCTGCCATTATAATTGCCTCTCCGGTGCAGCCTGTCCTGCAAGGAATGGTGGGAATGATACCTCTCTCAGTAGTAGGACAAAATGGAAATACGTTCTCGGCACCTGCCCGCCAGGTAGCACATCACAAATAAATCCTTGTCCTTCCAGAATTAAAGCCAAAGTGATAAGGAGTCTTTTGGTAAATTGTAATGGAACACGGTGATTCTTTCCAGGTTCTACACATGCCTGTGGCTAATCCAGTGTGCAACAGAAGTGTCCCAAAACTTCCCATCCCTCCCAAATCACAAAAGATTCCTGGAGCAAGAAACAAAGCTAATGCAGGTATTTGTGGTTTTGAGACGGTCAGAACAAAAGTGGGGGTTTTACAGTCATGTCAGTTCTGAGTAATAAAGTTCTGTACATACCAGTGCCCTCTGCCAGGTAACTACTGGGATGGCTTTGAGAGAGGCTTGTAACCTGTAATTAGTAACTGTATTTGCTCAATTTACAAACTAGAGTCCTAGCATATTAAATAATTCCAGATTTCAGAATTAAGCTTATTTTGGAAATGTAATGTTGCAAGGCTCTAATGCAGTTTAAAAAAAATGCACTTTTCTTTATATTTCTGGTTATTTTTCATCTCACTGTACTCCTGCCATCAAAATGAAGCCACTTGGAAATACAAATGTTATTCAAATAGTCAGCAATTCTAAACATTTATTAAGGAAAATATTTAATAAAAGTGTCTCATATTTATACAAAAAATGCACTCTCTGTTTTGTCGTTCCTATTTCAGGTGTACACTTCTGTATATTAATTTCATTGAGAATTAGCTTCTTTAAATAGTAAATGGAAACAAGATTGGAGTTACATTCATTTCTCAGTGTTGGAAGGGAGTAAAGAAAAATAATTGAAAATAGAAAATGAATTGAGTTATAAAGGACAACTTGTGCAGAAATTTATCTACCTTTTTTTAAAAAAAGAGTAGGCTTACACATAAAAATTAGAATAAGATTGCAAATGAAGAAAAGGGGTAGGAGGGTGTAGTTAGTCTGCATTCTGGTTTGCTGGTGCGTAACAGTTCACTGTGGTTATTTCCCTTCTCCTGGGAAGTCCCTGCTGGGCATTTGCGAGTCCAGCTCAGTTGACTTTGTCTTGCACGGACTCTATTATCTAAGTGTAGACAGCAAGGGAGCTGCTGCTTTATACTTAGTTGGTGACCTTTGCCAATTTATTAAGCTGTAAATTTGATAATTATGAAGAAGTTGCAGAGTTTTGTTGCTGGGTTTTTCTTTACTGATTCTGTGTCAGGTGAAATGTCACAGAATCATAGAATTGTTTAAGTTGAAAGAGATCCTCAAGATCACGGAGTCCAACCATTAACCTTCCACTGCCAAGTCCATCACTAAACTCTGTCCCTGAGCCCCACGTCTGCAGATGTCATTGTACTAACTGTGAGATGATTTACTCGGAATACTGTAGTTTATTATAACATTCTTCATCTGTTGTTGCAGGAAAACTGGTCCCAAGTGTAGCTGAGCCTTTGAACCACACAAACTCTCGAACACAAAGGTGAGTACTGCCAGGTTTTCAAACTTGCTTTCTTTTTCCTGCCATGAATTTCTTCATACTGTACTGACTGGGAGGAGGACAGACAGCCTTTTGAACACTGCTGTGAGCAGTACCCTTTCTTTTTTTCCCCTCCAGTCTATCTCCTAGGAGTATTGATGCAGATGTGTGTTCATACTGGTGCTGGGACATGTTAATGACAAGCCTGTGCTAGAACTCTCCCGTTAGTGTTCCTCTCTTAATGTTGTGTGGCTTTATGTTTATTTTTGCCTGTCTCAGTCATCAAGTAAAAATTGTTCAAGCAGAGTCCAAGCTTGCAGAAATTACCCATTACATTTATGAAAAGGTTTTTTATATATATATATTGATGAATAGAATTTAATTGCTAATCAGAACAGGTACTAGTCTTCTGTTGGACAAGTGAGAGAGAAGAAAGTAGACTTCAGTAGTTACTCTTTATCGGGAAACAAAAGGATGTTGGTATGAGCAAAAGAGTGTAGAAAAAGATCAGTGCAGTTTAAATATTAGAGGTGAAACTTTTTTATTGAAAAAATAAAGCATAGTTTTAAAAAAATCTACCTATTTATAACTCAGTTAAAATGCTGAAAAAGTGGAGGAAAATGGGAACAATAAAGCTTACTTACCTAAAAAACAAAAACAAAAAAACAACGCACCAACATATACCCAGGTATATCGTATGCATACAAAAATTAGTGATTTTTTAAAAACCGCAGAACTATGATTTGGGATAATATAATTTTGATAATCCTCTGTTAATTTTAATTGATCTCCAGATGTATGTTTTGCATAGAAAAGAGAGCAAAAATGTTCCCTGTAAAGGGATGTCATTTCTCATTTCTACTCCTGCTGTCTCTCTCATCTCACACTGGTACCTCCCATACCTTCTCTGCCATCCCAACGGTACCAAAGTTAATTTGACTTTTCCCTCTCTAAACTCTAAAGGTGTATCTGCACAGGGAGGGGTTGAGTAGCACAGAGGAATATGCAGAAGCCTCTCTTGGAAATGCGGCGTAAGGCAGGAAGAGGCGCAGACACAGCAGTGCTAGGAGCTGATGGAGCAGAAGCATTTTTTTGACACCGCTACAGTGCAGTGGTGGCTTTTTCACACTGGTGGGGCTGGTTGTCAGGTGGAGACCAAGCCTGGGGCAGTCTGTATGTTCTTGTCAAGATGCCCACCAATAGCTGTTTGTCCTGCTCTGTGTCACGCCACCAGCAGCGCGTGCAGAGGGGAGAGCAGAGGGCACATGTGTGATGATACTGCCCAGGATGTTCTGGCAGCCTCCCAGCAGTTCCAGCTCCGTGGGCTGCCAGAGCCACAACCAGATCCCAGGATGGACTGTCTTCTCATGAGTGTGCTCAGTTTCTTTCTGAACTCAAGTAAAATACCAGCATCCACAAATATCCCAGGGTAAAAAATTCCCAGGATTAATTACGTGCAGTGTCCAAACCTCCTTGTTTTGTTCTGAACATGAGGCTGGCTTTACTTGATGCCTCTAGTTCCTCCGCTGAGCAGAGTTTCCTTTTTGTTGACTTTTTTGCCAGATTTCTGTTTTATTTCCCCACAGTCACCTCTCTCTTTCCAGGCTGAGGAGCCCCAGTCTACCCGATTGTTCTTTGTACAGACTCTGTTTCATACCTTTTCATCATCCTTTTTGGCCTCCTCTGAGCTTCTGCAGTTGTCAGCCCTTAATCTTGGTCTTGGCGTGTTGGTAAAATGGAGAGAGCTTTAAAAGAGGTGTTTTGAGGGGCAGGTGGGGACTTCAGCCAGCTGAAATGAACTTGCCTAGTAGGACTGAGTGTGGTGCTGAAGTGTTTTCATCTCATTTTCAGGACTGGAAATTCAGACAAGCTTGTCACTGCAGAGCTAGGGAGGAACGTGGAGGAGAACCTACCTATTGCACCAGTAGAGAGCACGGGCTCAAATTCAAGACCAAGTGAAAGTCACAGGAGAGTGCTTTGCTTTGATAACGTCCTGCCCGCGCCGGGAGGAAACGCCCAAACTCAGGCTACTAAGAGTTTATCCCAGAAAGAAAGAAATGAAAATACTCTATTTGCTGTTGACACCGCGTCATCCTCTGCTAAGGCGCAGGGAGTGAAGAGAGAGAAGGATAAAACGTTGCCCAGAATCCTGTGTAAGGCGGAGGTTGGCGGCAGCAGAGGCACATCCGCAAAGGAGCCGCAGCCCGAGCGGAAGGCGGGAGCGGCGGGGCCTCCCTCGGATCCCTTCCACAAGGCCACAGCAAATAAGGAAAACGAGCTGCGGAGGGATGCTGATGAGAAACAGAAGAACCAGGACACGGCCAAGCTCTCCAACGGCCAGCAGAGCGTTAGCTCATGGAACGAGAAGGCGGTCGCGTCGGTGCAGGAGCTGAACAAGAAGCAGGGCTCGCTCTCCAACGGGAACAGCAAAGCTTCAGCGGCTGGTTCTTTGTCTTCCAAGGAGCCAAAGCGAGAACCGGCCAAAGCTCCCGGCCAAGGCCTCTGCCTGTCGAGCCCCTTCACCAAGCAGTGTGTGGAGATGCTGCAGGACATCCAGTGGCACAGCCCCACTGGTAAAACGGTGGAGAATGGGGAGCTGCCTGTGCCCCGCACGCCGTCGGGGGTGGGGGACAGGCACACGGACGATACCGCAGACAGCGTGCGGACACCCACCTGCCGGCGCTTCACCGAGGACAGCGCGACCCCCCGCACCATGGTCCCCCCTGCCACGCCCGACCTGCCGGCCTGCAGCCCCGCCAGCGAGACGGGCAGCGAGAACAGCGTCAGCATGGCCGCACACACCCTCATGATCCTCTCCCGCGCCGCCATCGCCAGGACCAGCACCGCCACCCCCCTCAAGGACAACACCCAGCAGTTCCGCGCTCTGAGGAGCACCGTCAAGAAAAGGAAACTGGAGGACTTGAGCGAGGGTGAGAGAAACTCGCGTTCTGCAAATAGAAAAGACCTTCAGAACTCCCCAACACCATCAAAAAAGAAGAAAATAAAGGCAAGTACAGGCATTTACTTCTTAATTTAAAATTTGACGTATATATTAGACATCTATATGTATATATTACAGAATCGCAGAATGATGTGGGGTTGGAAGGGACCTCCAGAGATCATCTAGTCCAACCCCCTGCCAGAGCAGGTCCACCTAGAGCATGTTGCACAGGAACTTGTCCAGGCGGGTTTTGAATGTCTCCAGAGAAGGAGACTCCACCACCTCTCTGGGCAGCCTGTTCCAGTGCTCTGCCCTGCTCGAAGTGATGAAGTTCCTCCTCATGTTTAGAGGACATACAAGTTTGTGCCCACTTCCTCTTCTCCAGAATATATACATTATGTATATATATTCTATATATATAGTATAATATATATTATTTGTAATGGGGTGGTTCAGAGGTGCTCATCCAAATTCCTGACACCCTATTTATATTTGTCAGTTTTACTCTGTCTCTTCATCCCACTCCAAAATAACAGTTTCATTAAGATTAGTACAGTCTTCAGACAGACTTCAGAAAATCAAGTTACTTCTCTTGACACGTGAGTTTCTAAATTCTAACTTCAGTCTGTTTCTAGATCAAATGTGAGAATTAGGCCAAACTCAAACTAGACCTCACTAGAATTCAAGCGATTCTTGCATCCTCGTTTCCCACCAGGACCAGGAATCCACATTTTGTGTGATTCTCCATAGTCTACAGCACCATGCTTTTGACTTGGGGACTTAATGGCAAGTAGTGAAGGTGTGAGACATGGAAAGGTGACATATGTAAATGACCAAAAAGGAGACAGAGCAGGTCTCTGTAACTCACCACCCTTAGTTATGCCACACTCCTCAAATACAGGACCTGAGCAACGCTCTGTTACACGTCCTGCGTCTGTCCGAGGTCTGGGCAGGCTCTGCTGAGGCTGGGAGCTCAGACACTCCTGTCCCAGCTCCACCCCACTGGTACCCCAGGGGTACACGTAGCACCCTGGTGTCTGCTCTCCGGGTGAGCTCTGTGCCCTTAGGTCTCCAAAGCAGATGGAAAGATGAGGAGGAAGGGAATTCTTACAGTCTCTTCCGTGTCATAGAATCATCTAGGTTGGAAGGGACCTTTAAGATCATCTAGTCCAACCATCAACCTAACTCTGACAAAAAAAACATCGCTAAACCATGTCCCCCAGCCCCACATCAACCCGTCTTTTGAACACCTCCAGGGATGGTGCCTCAACCACTTCCCTGGGCAGCCCATTCCAATGCTGGATAACCCTTTCCCTTGTGACATTTTTCTTAATATCCAACCTAAACCTCCCCTGGCACAACTTGAGGCCATTTCCTCTTGTCCTATCGCCTGGACTTGGGTAGTACCCTCCTTTCAGGTAGTTGTAGAGAGTGATAAGGTCTCCCCTCAGCCTCCTTTTCTCTGGGCTGAACAACCCCAGCTCCCTCAGCCTCTCCTCGTAAGACTTGTGCTCCAGACCCCTCACCAGCTTCGTTGTCCTTCTCTGGACCCACTCCAGCCCCTCAATGTCTTTTTTGGGGTAAGGGGCCCAAAACTGGACACAGTACTTGAGGTGAGGCCTCACCAGTGCCCAGTACAGGGGGATGACCACCTTCCCAGTCCTACTCACCACCCTGTTCCTGAGGCATCCCCAGGTTCTTCATATTTAACACAACCATTCTTTTCCTCTCCTACAGAAAAAGAAGCTGCCGAATTCTTTCCCAGCGGGGATGGACGTGGACAAGTTCTTGCTGTCTCTGCATTACGACGAATGAACAAGAAGTTGAACTGGGACAGTCTAAAGCTAAAAGGGTGGCTTTGTGCTGAGGTTGTGCATGGGAAGAGACCTTAATTGTAAAGAGTGAGTTGCACTTTGAGTGCACTGAAGTTTCACTTTATAGCAAAATCATGCTGTTTGGGAAGCAGGTTGCGAAGTGTAAATATCATTGAGTTGGTATATGTTTATTTTTGAAAAAGCACTTGCGTAATTATAGAGCCATTTAATTTGCAGAAATTGTAAATTTGTATAAATGTAATGTAAGAAAAGTTGTATGTTTCCCGTTCTACCACGTTGTCTGTGTTCTGCTGCATTCTCTACTTCCCCCCGACCCGTGTTTGTGCGAAGGCTGTGTGTGTGCAGGCAGGGTTTGCAGGTCACTGCTCTGGGACACGGGCGGCCAACCCGGCCGCTTCCCCTTCTCTTGTTGAATCCCAAAGGGCCTCGCTCTCCAGCCATACCCGGCTTGTACTAACACCCTCTGTATCATAACTGTCAAACCCACCCTGTCAGGCTTGCAATGAGCTGACAGAAATACCAGTAACCAATTGTATAAAAGTATTTCTCATCTAAGGAAGCTTTTCCCAGCCAGTCATTCGGATAAGAACGTTAATTTGGATCGGCCTCATCTCTTTACAATATTTTTTCTGCGTAAGATTCATTTGGATGCAGCAGCTGTTTTCAAACCATGTACTTTCTTGTGGGTTCACCCCCATATTCACACCCTGGTACGAACACTTCAGCAAGAGCCAGATGAGAATTTCAGTGTGTTCTATTGCAAAAGTCAATTCTTTGAACTGCCATTTGTACTGGTGAGAAAGCGTTTGTTCATATCTCTTCTGCTTTTAGCCAGACATGGAAAAAAATGGATCTGGTCTTTCTGTTGAATGTAGAATTTGTCATAGCTATTATACAAACTCTTCAAAATGGGCACAGGAGCAGCTCAGCCTCCATTTTAGTACTAATTAGCATGGGTGAAAATGACCACACTAAGCCTTGCTCCAGTACTGCAGAATTTTCTCTACTGGTATTTCCTCCTTTGTTCTCAAATTGTTGAGGTCTTAAAAAAATGCAAGTTTTCTTGTGAGAGATCTGTACAGCAACAGGGCAATGTTTCACATAGTATACAAGGATTCCTAAGGAACCAATATTATGCAGTAGATGTTTATATTAAACCCATCCAATAATGAAATACTGCATACCATTTACAGCTTGAATAAATATTTTTGTTTTAATAAGAAGCTTTGTGTCTTGCTTAATATTTTTTAAGTTCCCTGAGCAGCTTTGCAGATGGTGTATAGAGAAGTCATGTTGATCAGTCATTTTTTAAGACAAAGAGTTCAGTATTAAACACTAAGTTCTGATAGTGGCAATTGTCAGAGTGGCAAAAACAATCACCTCTTTGCTACGTGGTGGCATTTTAATAGTATTTTGAGAGTTGATAAGTGATATTGTTAAATAGATTTGCTGTTTAAATCATAGTGTAGCTCTTTCATGGGACAGCCAATAACCACCATCGTCTTTCTTTTTTCAGTTGAGATGATCTGGTAATACTAAAAATGGGAATTATCAGTTCACTTAACACTTTCAAAGAAAGGAGCACCTTCTGTTCCAAGCTGCTGTCAGGTGGCAAACAATTTTTAGAACAGGTGTCAAGAGCACAAATGAAAGTTAATTTCTTTGTGTGCAGCACTTAAACCCCCAGTTCTTTTGCTGCCTCTTCAAGTACACGCCTTCCCAGAAGAAACAGATCCCTCTACATCCCAGTCAAAGTACATATTGCCTCTACTTTATGGAGGGAAACGTAAGGACGATCAGTGGGTAAAGATGATCTACTGTTGAAATTAATGTCAAAATAAGAAAAGCAGTTGTCCTAAATCCCAGCTAAGAAACTTAAAACTGCTGGTTATCCCTTGTGAAAAGGGTGAGGTGGGAACAGGCTTCATGCTGGTGAAATAGCAGATTTTTGCCCCCTGGTAAAAAGCTGGCTAAAGAAACTGCATAACCTTCTCACTGAGGTCCAGAACAATGCTCATGCCAGGAAAATATTCCCATCTCAACATATTTGCAAGAGGAAGCTTAACCCCGTGTTCCTGTCACTTCCAGAGCGCAGGCAGCAGTAGTTGCACTCGTTTGGTCCTGAATCTGCCTCTACTTAAAAGCCTGTTGAGAAAATGGTACATCACAGAGGTCAACATGAACAAAACAGGAGCAGCAGCATTTTGAAGCCACATGAGCACTTCTGTGTGGAGGTTGGACCCCCATTGTGTCCTGTTGGCTTTGATACAGCAGCCCAAGGCAGGGTGAGGGTGCGCTCCAGCAGGGCTCCTTTTTTGGCATTTGACCTGGCTTTGAGCTATGCAAAGCAGAAACCAACCTTCAAGGAAGATTTTTTCCATTAAAATTAAGCACCAAAACTAAGAAATGAGCTTCTTCTACTCGCAGCACTGTGTGAGTTACCAAGAGAATTCATTTTTGGTGGCATTTGAGAAACCAGTGAGAGGAGACATGGTTAGACATTCTTTATTGTCAGGTCTGGAGACATCATCATAATTTGACAGTTTTTATTTGTACTGTATAAAAACTTACACTGAGTCAAAGTAATAAAAGCCCAGGGTTCATATCAATAATCAATGTTTTAAGAAGTTTTAGAACAGCAGTTAAGGAATTCATTCACTTACTGATAAATAGGGTGTAACAGGTACCACGCGTGGCTTTGATCAGAGAGTGCTTAAGGCTTTGTTTCCAGCTCTATCTGTGCCTACAGCTTCTCTATCAATATTGCAGAAGCACCTCCTCCTCCATTGCAGATTCCTGCAAGGCCATATTGTCCTTGTTTCAGCGCATGGGCCATGTGAACAACAATTCTTGCTCCAGACATCCTACATAAAGGAAAAAAAAAAAGTATATAGCTTAGTTTAAAGGAAATTCTTCATTTGCCCCATGCAGGATAGTTGGCAGAATATGGTACTGATTCACTGGAGGGGAAAAAACCACCTACAAAATGACCAAACAAACCCTTTCATCTACATTTAGAGGCAATACAGGTTATTTTTCTCTAGCTACAGTACTTGACAAACAAAAAGACTCTTATACAAACACAAACAACAAAAATGTGTTTATCTAAAGCTGCTCCTGGAAAAGGGAACTGCCTCTCAGTCAGTCTGTGTATTAGGAAGTAACCTCTCCACGTAGCAAAGCTCTTTCACAGAAGGTAACAAATCTACCACAAAAACCAAATCGATAGTCATGACTCATTTCTAACAGTTTCTTATTTGTTTCCAGTTTGATACACAGCGGTGTGCTACTCTGAGCCACCTGACCTACAAAACCAGGCACTGACATTAGGTTTCAAAATTAATTATTAAGGCAAAACCAGGCACTGACATTCTGACATTAGGTTTCAAAATTAATTATTAAGACAAAAGAAAGAAAAAAAAAAAGAGGATTGTGCCTTGATTAGAGCTTTTTATGAACCACAAAGTACTCCTCCTCGTTCCTGATGTACAACGTGGCTGCTTCACAGCGACATACAGGTTTTGAAATGTTTTTTCCCTCCTAGACCTGCAGCACAATCCCCCTTAAGGAGGATTAACGGGTCTGTCAGGGAACGGAGCAGGAGATCTGACTCCTCCTGCCAGATGACAGAAGTTCAAACAAGGAGACCCACCAGCATCCCCCAGACTGTCCCCATCTGCTGCACTGGGGGCTTGGAGACTTGGATTCACGCTCAAAAATGCTTTGAGAAGACCTGGAATTTCACTTGGCTCATGTAAGAAAAATAAAAGCCCCTGTACCATATCCTTCCCTATTTTCTTAAGTTTGCCTGTAAATTGTATTAGCTTCACTACTTGATTAATTATTATTGTAGGGAGCCTACAGGAAGGCTGGGGAGAACCTGTTTAGAAAGGCCTGCAGTGACAGGACGAGGGACAATGGCTTCAAGCTGGAGGGGAGCAGATTTAGATTGGAGATTAGGAGAAAGTTCTTTACTGTGAGGGTGGTGGAGCACTGGAACAGGTTGCCCAGGGAGGTGGTTGAGGCCCCTTCCCTGGAGATGTTCAAGGTGAGGCTCGACGAGGCCCTGGGCAACCTGGTCTAGTTGGGGGTGTCCCTGCTGACTGTGGGGAGGTCGGACTAGATGACCCTTGGAGGTCCCTTCTGGCCTGGGCAATTCTATGATTCTGTCACATTTGGTTTTAATACCTCATAAATCCATATAGCTACGGAGACAAGAAAGCTCTTCATGAAAGTAAGTGATAACTACCTGTGGAGATTAAAATGGGATCGTGCACTTTTCAAGGCACCCTGAAATTTGACACAGGAATTAAGTCACTGTGTATCTAATTGCACATTTCTATTACCCCTCCTAATTGCATTAAACCTGAGAATAATGGTAAATGCTTTAGCAGTGTGTCTGGAAAGCAGTGCCTCTGCACAGAACAGCCCCCAGTGCTTATGTTACTCACCCTATTGGATGTCCCAGAGAGACAGCACCTCCGTTGATATTGACCTTTTGTGGGTCAATACCCAGCATTTTGATATTGGCCAGCACCACCACACTGAAGGCTTCGTTGATTTCCCACATTGCAATGTCTTCTTTTTTCAGGCCTGACTGACTTAGGATCTAGAAATAATAATAAAAATAGTTACTACTGTGAAAAAATTAGGAAGCTAATTATAGAAACAATTAGGTCTGTTTTGAAGTGGGTGACTCAGGCTGCCCATAGTCTGATTCAAGTTTGTATTTCGGAACCTCTTTGTCAGCTGGGAAAAAGCAAAACTGAGGTTGTAAAGCACAAACCTGAGTTTTCACAAAAGCAGAACCGGAGAGTACCCCGTGCCAAGGGCACCTGCTCATCACACCCAGACTAAGGCCACTGCTACGGTAACTACATTTAAACTGAGAGGGGCCAACGGAACCCTGGGCTGCACTGGGAAGAGTGTGGCCAGCAGGTCGAGGGAGGTCATTCTCCCCCTCTACTCTGCACTGGTGAGGCCACAACTGGAATACTGCATCCAGTTCTGGGCCCCCCAGTTCAAGAGGGACTGGGAACTACTGGAGAGAGTCCAGCGTAGGGCTACAAAGATGATTAAGGGATTAGAACACCTCCCTTACGAGGAAAGGCTCAAGGAGCTGGGGCTCTTTAGCCTGAACAAGCGAAGGTTGAGGGGAGACCTTATTATTAATGCTTATAGGTATCTAAAGGGTGGGTTGAAGGTGGATGGAGCCGGATTCTTTTCAGTGGCTCCCAGTGACAAGGGGCAACGGGCTCAAGCTGGAACATGGGAAATTCCATTCAAATACGAGGAAGAACTTCTTTCCGGTGAGGGTGATGGAGCACTGGAACAGGCTGCCCAAGGAGGTCATGGAGTCCCCTTCTCTGGAGACCTTCAAGACCCGCCTGGATGCAGTCCTGAGTGATGTGCTCTGGGCAACCCTGCTTTGGCAGGGGAGTTGGACCAGATGATCTCTAGAGGTCCCTTCCAACTCTGTCAAATCCATGATTCCGTGAGAGAGTGTTGCCTCGTGCCATACACTTGTCTTCAGTTCCTTTTGAACTACTCTGTACTTGTGTAACCACATTTATTTTGCCCATTAGCCATGCAATCTGCAAAGCTTCTAAAGTTGGTGAAAGCACTGTAAAATACTCTCCTTCAAACCAGGTGTGAGAAATTATTACTCTGAAAATCTGCATTGTAGCCTTGATCCTCGGAAAATCGGGCTCTTTGTATTTATGATACACTTATAATTTTGATCCTAATTACAGGAAGATCCAATGAGGGATGAGCCAATGTGCATTCCAGTGCTACGGAAAATTGTTGTTTTTCAAAAAACACTCAAGTTTTATTCCTACCTTGGGAACAGCATGTGCAGGGGCAATTGGGAAGTCAATGGGATCAACAGCAGCATCTGCAAAAGCTGTAAAAATCATAAAAGTGTTTAAAGACCTTTTGTTTTTACCATATAGGATTTATACGTGCAAGCAGCAAACCCAGCCAAGACAGAAACATTCTCAATATAATGATCCATAAAGTAGATACATCTAAAGTTTAGTGCCTTTAAGCGAGCCACATAATAACATTTTCAGATTTTTAATATTATTCCATATAGAAAACTCTTTATGATTGAAAATTTTATTATCAAAACCTTGCTGGTACAACACTGGAATTTCAAGGACTGAATTGAGAAGACGCAGCCATAATGCCTGAGGGCCCCCCTTTTCTGTCCCATGACCAA